TTTTGGTTAACATATAAAAGATTATAATCTAGTGCCTTTAATTTGCTTTAATTTTGTGGCTCACTTGTATTAAGTTCAGTCTGGTGTCAGCAAGCCATAGACTCTTGAATTTTAAGGAAAGAACTACAGATGCTGTCAGTTTGCTCTTTGTTTATTAATATATTAATTGATTATTGTAACCAGCAAGTACCTTTGAAATGATACTTTACAAAAATAATACTTTATTAGAGATGGAGGTTTTTTAATACTGAGCACCAAACTTTGTATAAACTTGAGTACAGAGTCTAGGGAGACTTGATGTAAAAATTGCTAAAATTTTCTGGTATACTGTGCTGAGGCTGAGGTGACCACAAATGTTCATGTGTTGGAACTTTAATTCCTCAAGTAGCAAGGTTAGGAGGCAAGATCTAGGGGAAGTGTTTGGATTATAGGGACAGAGCTCCCATGAATGGATAATGCCTTTATTTTACTCTTGAGTTCCCCCCTCAAGGGATTGTGTTAGTTATTATGAGAGCGATTTGTTATAAAGCATATCCATCCTTCCCTCTTTTGTTCTTGCTCACTTGCCCTTCTGCTTTCTACTATGAGGTAAAGCAGTACTAGGTCTTCACCAGAAGCTCAGCAAATATCAGTACAGTGCACTTGGGTTTCCGAGCCTCAAATTATAAGCCAAAATATACCTCTTTTTTTTTTTTATATATTTATTTCTTAGTTTTAGGTGGACACAGTATCTTTATTTTACATTTATGTTGTGCTGAGGATCGAACCCAGTGCCCCATGCATGCTAGGTGAACGCTCTACCACTGAGCCACAATCCCAGCCCCCCAAATATACCTCTTTTCTTTAAAAACTACTCAGTCTTACGATCTTATTATAAAAACAGAAAATAAAGAAGTATTTATATTTCTCCTCAGCCCTCTCATACTGTGAGTCTCTAGACAGGTTAATCTCAGAGGAGAGATTCTCAAGACTTATGAACCATGTTTTCATTTTCTTCATACTGTATTTCTTCATCTCAAAAGTAACAGGCTATATTGTTAACCTTACTTGGCTGTTTATTTGAAGTTCCTGTCTTGTTGCTACTATTCATAACCTGCTCTGCATCCTTTGGTTAGAAATAAAAATAGTAGAGATTGTAATTTAGATTGAAGGAGGACATTTGTGAGAAATGTTAATCTTCTATCTTCTGTTTTCCTGATTATATCAGAAGTTAAAAATCAGACTTACAAAGTCCTAGTATAAGAGAAATAGGAAATGGGAAGACCTTCTTGGCCTTCCTGGAGCTGTAAGTCTCCTTAAGGAGAAAAATATAAACATAAAAAGAAAAAAAAAAAAAAAACCCACAGGGTTTGGGTAACCTATGACAATTTTTATTTTGTAAATACTCAATGCTTTGCACATGGCAGAAAGGAGATAAGACCTTAGGCAATTAAGTTTTATTTAAAGGGGTCTGGAATCTGAGAATTCTGACAGTGAGAAAACTATAAACCATAGTTGTATGAGAACAGGCACCAAGTCTTCACCATTGCCTATTCAGTGTCACCTCTGTCTCTGGCAGGTTCTCAGTTAATATAAGTTAAATAAGTGAATATCTTTATTAAACAAATTGAAAAGAGATAGATACTTGATTTGGGCAAAAGTGAGATCCAAAGACTTGAGAAAATATTAGGAGATAGAAATGACCTGACCAGATCTGTGGGAATGAGCTGGAAGATCTGAGAAAAAAGCTTGCTGAAGGGAGATTGGGATCAAATTAAAAGCATCTTTGATTGCCAGACTTGAGAATTTGAAGTTTGTTCTTTAAGCAGTGTATATTTTGAAGAAATTCTGGCATTGTTTAAGCAGTGTTTTAGGAGGAGTATGATGAGCTCTCTCTGCTTCCTGGCCCCTCCATGAGCTGTGCAATTTTCCTCTGCTGGGTCCTTCCTATATTGATGTGCTGCCTCATCTTGGACCCAAACAAGAGTCAGTCATCTATGCATTGAGGCCTTTGAAACTATGAGCTCCAAATAAACTTACCCACCTCTTTTTTTTAAAACAACAACAAAAGGAATGGTTTTTTTTTCGGGGGGGGGGGGGGGAGCAGGGATTGAACTCAGGGGCACTCAACCACTGAGCCGCATCCCTGACCCTATTTTGTATTTTATTAGAGACAGGGTCTCACTGAGTTGCTTAGCACCTGGCTAAATTGCCGAGACTGGCTTTGAAGTCAAGATCCTTCTGCCTCTGCCTCGTGAGCCGCTGGGATTACAGGAATGGGCAACTGTGCCTGGCAAGAAATAGTCTCAATGATACTGTAGGTTATAGTAAGGAAGAGACTGGAGAGCAGCTTTGAGACCAGTTGTTATGTTGGCTAGAAATTCTTTGGAAAAAATAAAATATTTTAATATGTACTACGTTATGTAGAGGTACTTTTTGAACTCTACTTATTGAGCATAATGATATGACTTGTCTTTTTCAGTATTTGGTTTTCCATGGCATTTTGTTATCTTCGTGGCTTTTCTATGAGATCATGGTATAAATTTTGAATGTATTTATTCTACCTTTATTTGCCTTTTATTAATGTCAAGCATAGTGTATAAGACATTTCCTGTTGCTATGCAACTGCTAAATTCAATATTTATTATTAATAAAACTGAGTGGTATTAACATCCAGTGAACAGAGGGTAGCAAAATATAGCTTTACAGATCCAATAATATTTGTAAGGTTTGATGTATTATAAATATGAGCAAAAGAGGAGTGGCTTGTTTATAGTTAATATTTTGAGCAGAATTAGTTGTGGTTAAATATTTTGAGTTTATGACCAGACTTTTGGTTTTTATTTGCTTCCTTTTGGTCTTTCTTTTTCACTGTTTTTTGATCTATGATTAGGTTTTTTTTTAAAGTGTCTGTGTTAATCTATGATGTTTCTCAATCTTTTTTCGTATTCCATTCTTTATAATTTAAAATTTTTGTTCTTCCATAGTCATCTTCTGCACATTTCCTTCGTAGTATTATTTCTTGCTATATTTACATTTTTCCTTTTCGAGGATTTATGCTTAGAATGCATATTTGGAATTTGTTATAATAAACACAGGTAAAAGAATATAGACTTGCTCTTTAGGATAAGAGCTGCCAGTAATTGCTTAGCTATATTTTCAGTGTGTGTTCAATGATTTCTAGATATTTAAACACTTTATATTTGTGAAATCAGAATTCCTTTTTGCAGGGACGTAAAGTAGGAATGCTTAAGAGTTGGAGACAAGCTGTAAGACTTATTTTGGAGTAATTGCTGAGAATATCTGGTTCCAGGGCTAAGAGGATAGATAGCATCTAGCAATTCCTTTTCATTATTTCACCACCAGCCCTCTGCCTGCACAACCTCTGACCCCAACACTTTCTCCTCCCTAATGTGGGGAAGAGCAAAGGACCATAGTAATTTAATGGAAAACATTTTAATTATAGTAGGTAAATAATAAGCAGGCATAAGTACCTCTCATTTGTTGGAGTGGGTAGTTTGCTAATGTCTTTGGATAGCAAGAAGTAAGGAGAATTGAAAATCATTTGCTCCCCTAATAGTAAGTGAAAAAATCTACAGTTTTAAAATAGTGCAGAAAAAACAATTCTCTAATTACAATGTAGATGACACAAACTCTGGAGGTTACTCTGTTGAAAATGATGGCTTACAATGTTATTTTTATAGCCAGATGAACAAGATACTGTTTCTAGGGATCATCTTGTGTACCCCCTTAATCTTTCAAGTACTTTATTGTTTTATATTTAATATGTTGTGTTTGTGGTAAAGAAATGGCTTATATGTTTGAGCCTCAAAAATGTCCAGTAGCCTATATATTATTAGTGATTCCTTTATCCTAAATATAAAAGTGCTCTTTAACAATTTTAAAAAATTACAAGGCTTCAGATGATAATGGATTATCTGACAAAATACACCATTCCTGAAAATACTAGGAATTAATTTAACTCTTTTTATATTAATTACAATAGAATATCTGTGTATTTCAAAAGTATTATGTACACCAAATGTGCAAGACATACTAATTCTCTTTAAAGGTCATGGTTAGTGTGCATATGGATTCATGTAATAAGTATTTGAGCCCACAGTGAGGTCTTTGACACATAGTTTGGGAACCAGTGCTTAGAGCTTTATTCCTGGTATATTGTATAAAGCTATAATCTAATTCCCTTCCATTTAGTCTCTTCATTCTTTCTTTAACAATCCAGAAAAATTAGCAAGATGTTTTCATTAAATAGACCAGCAAAATTTGTGTAATAAAGTTAGAAAAACTGCTTATTTTTTAATTTTCTATTTTATTCATGATGTAGAAGGATATGAGAGTTTTAAATATTTGTGTACAGGTATATTTGAATTTTTTTCTCCTCTTTTTTGTATATATAATTAGTGATTTTTATCTTTGTAAAGGAACTAAAAAATAGTTTCACCTTGTTGGCAATATGAAATTTGGAGTTCTTTTTTCTAAAAGATTGTGTGTGCATATGAGAAAGAGAGAAAGTTGTTCTCAGTGAGGATTTTCATTTAAGAAACTATTAACTTGAAAAAGTCTATGATCTCAATTGGTATTCAGAAAAATAATAATGTTCTAGGGTATTCTAGAACATTGTGGAAGTTCTCAAATACTTTTACTCTTCAGTGAGAAAGTTGCCCTTTAAAATGGAGCTTGAGAGTTAATGTAAAAATTTTGTAGAACAAGCAAGAGAAACTCAGTTTCCATTCTTCCATTAATTATTTCTGGTGTCTTTTTTCTTTCTTGATTGTGCCCTGAATTTTTGTTGATTATTAATCATTAACAAATGCAAATGCTCCTTCTACATTTGTCATTGACACTTTTTCTTTAGCATCCCTTCAATAATAATAATCTGGGATCCTTGAGAACTGGAGAAAACATCATCATTTTTCTTGTAACCAATCAGTATTACCATAGTGGATATTATATTATTGTGATGATGGATTCTTTTTTTTTTTTTTTTAAATCCTTTTTAGGGTTTGAAAGTATTCTTGAAGGGCTGTTTGGACCTGCATTATTAAAAGATCTCAGTTTATTTAAAGGTATTCAAAATATTTTTGGTATTTCAGATTATTCCTGGTGACAAATATGGTACCTTGGTAATTTAAGCTTTATGTCTCATCATTTTTATTTGCAGTTTTATGAGGGTTAAAGCTATCTTCATGTAAGCTTTGTGTGTGGGGGGGTGGGGGCGTGTGTTTAGTTGATATTGTTAATATATGCATGATTAGCACATACCAGTGAGCAGTTAGGTGAAGAATTTTGAGTTAAGAATTTTAAGACTTAGCTGTTGGTATAGTTCATTACCCTGTACCCAGTTTTCAGTGGTAGAGAACATTCTTAGATGTATATAGAAGGCTCTGGGTTTAAAAATTTAAGATAAAAGAATTTGAAGACATAAGAAGCATGTCTACTCTTAGTGAAGATTTTGTTAAACAGTGTTTTTGAAATTAATTTATTTTCTTAAAAATTCAACTTTATGATTATTAATTTGTCATTCATTTTATTTTTAGAGTGTGAACCTGAAGGCATTTCTGATTGGACTTTTGATGAAAATTGTCTGTTCTGTTGCTTGAGAAGAGATAAAGTAAAGGTAACCAAGAAGTTTGTGAAACTTGTGTAAAATATTTTAAAGTTTCTTAAAAAAACAAACAAACAAAAAAAAACTTATCACTTTGTTAGAGGATTTATAGGAAAGAGAAAGTGTTTAAAGGGTTTTTGATAGTAACTTTGCATTTTAAACTGTTTCTTGTCTGTTGGTTATCCTTCTGAGAAATCTGTATCCCAGGATGCATTTATTTATATAGTTCATTAGGCAGAATAATTAAGTTTATCCTGATATGAAGTTATATGACAATTCAAGAAATGGGATTCACTTTTAGTACCAAAAAACCAGTAACATAGATCTTGATCAAGTATTTAATAATTCATATATTTATGATATACTGTGGTTTATACCTTAAAGTAAGATTCTTTTTGGGTCATGAATGCTGTTTGTATTCAGTTGTAGAAATTAGCTGAACTTTTGTGTTTTTATCATTGTATTGCTTTGGGTCAAACAGGCTTTTGGTTTGGAAATATTTCAGTTATTGAAACTGTTGATAATGATTTACTGTCTTGTATTTTTTTTTCATGCTACTTACCCCCCCCCTTTTAAATTTTTTTGTAGTTATAGATGAACAGCATGCCTTTATTTGTTTATTTTTATTCGGTGCTAAGGATTGAACCCAGTGCCTCATATGTGCTAGGCAAGCACTCTGTCACTGAGCTACAACCCCAGCCCTGTGTTTCCTATTTTAAAGCCAAGGAAACATTTTGAGTCTTCCTCCTTCTGTGTACACTGAATTTAAATCCTTGACCAGGTTCTCTCAGTTTCTCCCTCTAATGAATTTCCTTCTTTTTCATTTCTACAGTGAAATTACTGTGAAACAGTAATAACCATAGTTCAGACACCAGTCACTATTTCTGGACCACTGAAATAACATGATTGGTCCTTCTCAGTTTTCTTCAGTCTTTTAAATACTACTATTAAGTTAAACTCCTTACCCCCAACCATCACCCCTCAAATAGTGTGGAAGTATTACCCTGTACTCAGTTTTCAGTCACTTTCTCATTGTCTTCTGGATCCACCACCCAATTCTTAGTGTGACTCAGTACCTAGCACAATTCAGTCTGATTTTCTTTCTAGTATTCTATATAATTTCCTTTGAACTAAACTAAAAATCTGAGAAATTTAGTCTGATCATTTGTATTAAACAACATGTTTTTACTAGTCTTTGGACTGTACCATTGAATACTTGTTCTCTCTATCTTGAAAGTCTCTTGCTTTTACTTTAAGCCCTCCCCCGCCCCATATGTAGTATATCTATGCTCTAATGCTGTTTAATCTTTTACTCTGGTTTTGTTGTTTGTTTTGGTTGGTCTTGGTACTGAGGATTGAACTCAGGGGTACTCAGCCACTGAGCCACAATCCCTAGCCCCCTTTTTATATTTTATTTAGAGACAGGGTCTCGCTGAGTTGCTAAGTGCCTCACTAAGTTGCTGAGGCTGGCTTTGAACGAACTTGCAATCCTCCTGCCTCAGCCTCCTAAGCAGCTGGGATTACAAATGTGTGCCATCACACCTAGCTGTTTTGTTTTTGATGGGATGTTTTGTTTTGTTTCACTACTGAGGATCCAGTCTCAAACAGTTGATCTAAATGCCCAACCTTTTTAAAAATTTTGTTTTGAGGCAGGGTCTATTAAGTTGCCCAGACCAGCCTCCAAACTTGCCTCAATCCTTTTATCTCAATCTCCCGAGTAGCTGGATTGTAGGTGTGCACCAATGTGCCTGGCTTTCATGCCGTTGTTATAAATTTTATACAACTAATTATTTGACATTTAATATTCTGCCTTATTCTGTTCATCCTTTTCTATGTTTGAATTTTGTGTTGTTCCTGGTTACATTTGTCAACTGCTGAAGTCTGGACCATGCCATATGCTTCTTTGTTCCCCTTAGTGTAGTTAACACTGCTTGATTGTTGGCAAGTTGGTTAAAATCTAAAGCCACCAGTTAACAGTTTCTTAACATTATTCTTTTGTGGCATCTTTTTCTTGTCCCCCACCCCCACCCCCCGAATGAAAAAGTTGTGACTCTCTGAAATGGTGTGTTTTCATTGAATTGATGAGGAAGTTTTGAAATTTAATTTCTTTTGAAAGCAACCAGAAAATGAACGATGTTGTTCTGAGTTAAACTACCAATGAAGTTGAAAATCATCATTGTAAACTGTGTGTGTATTATGCGCATCTTGGCTTTTAATGAGTAAATCATTTAATATGAATTTTGGTAGAGTAAAAGAAAGAGCGATTGTCTTTAACAGGTTAGGATTGAGAAGACAGCCATTCTGTTTGGCAGTTGAGTACAGTATTTCTTGTAATATGATTTGAGAGTTTTCTATTGCTGCATGAGGCTAAAATATTATATGAATATTAGGAGAAAATGCTGAAATAGAAATTTATGGAACATTACAACATTTAACCCCCCCCTTTTTATAACTGTTTGAAGTTTTACAGTTTTTAACTACTTTTCTGAGTAGAAAGTATATTTCCAATTGACAACTCAAGAGCTAGTTCCAGAAAACTATTTTTCTTCATTAGATATATACTATTTTTCTTTGTCATTTATTGTTTTCACAGAGACCCATACAGCTATAATGGAGAGTAGGAAAGACCCTATATTGTGTGAATTGTCATGTATATATCTTTTTGTTGTGGGATTCTTTGTACAAATCAGAGCATCTCAACTAAGAAGGATTAGAATCTGGAAATTAAATGTATCCATTGGGATAAAGGTTAAACTTGAAAAGAAAGTAAAAAAACCTTGGAGAAGAAGAAAATATCAGGCTGAGCACAAGTGGAACAACCTCGTAATCCTGGCTAATTGGGGTTGTGAGATAGGAGACTGCCAAGTTTGAGGCCATTGAAGTCCACTTAGTGAGACTCTGTCTAAAATAAAGTTTAAAAAGGGTTGGGGAACATAGCTCAGTGGTACAGCATGAGGCCCTGGTTTCAATTCCCAGTACCACAAAATAAAAATAAAAAGCAGATGTGGGGGTGGGGTGGAAAGGGAAATATCTGGAAAGTGTGGTAATAACCAATAGATGGCAGTATTGAGCATGATATTGGAATCCTGAGTTTCAGGTTGGCATGATGACATAATTTAGGTAGTGTTTGGAAAAGCAGTTAGAAATAATGGTCTGATATTTGAGTAGGAGATGGAAGTTTTGTGTATTTTTTAGTTAATTGGATTTTCAGTGAATACTGAGGCTGTTAGAATGAGTAAAATAAATACATGTGTTTTCTTCATAAAACATGTAGGTGAAAGATACAAAATAGTCTGCAGAGATTGTCTAAAGATTAGAGTAGTCTCCCTTATTTGGGGGGTGTGCATTCCAAGAACTCCTCCCCATTAGATGCCTGAAACCATTAATATATATCTAGATATATTAGTATTAAACCATATATATCTAGATATATCTATATAGATAGTGTATTTTCATTGAATTGATGAGGAAGTTTTGAAATTTAATTTGGTTTGAAAGCAACCAGAAATTGCACGATGTTGTTCTGAGTTTTTATATATATATATATTTATTAACTATCACAGTAAATAATTGTAAATGTTGTTTTTATAATACTAGTTTTTCATCATACAGTAATTTTAGCATCTATTGATAAATATTGCCTTATAAAATATTACTGTGATTATGTGACAGTTAATGTGTGTATACACACACAACACATTGTGCAGTAAAACAGTTGTGGCATACTTTAAGATCCTACAAAGGTTAGAGATATAATTTGTAAGGGGAAAGCAGCTAACATTTCATGAACATCTATTTTGTGCCAGTTACCTTTATGTGTTACCATTTAATCTTCAAAACAACTTATAATGAAGTGGTTAAAGGTATCCCAGTTTTATAAATAAAGAAGTGTAGGGCTGGGGTTGTGGCTCAGTGGTAGAGCGTGTGCCTTGCATGTGTCAGGCACTGGGTTTGATCCTCAGCACCACATAAAAATAAATAAAGGCATTGTGTCCATCTACAACTAAAAAAAAAAAAATTAAAAAAAAAATGGGAAAGGTCAGGAAGTGAGATTGTTATAGGTAGAATCACATAGCTGGGATTTTATTTGTTTTTAAGAGTTCATACAGTTTAATAGCAACAGTAGGGACAGGATTGGGGGAAGTGGAAAGCAAGGTAAAACAGGATTTGGCATTACTTAGGTGGACAGAGGGAGAGAATATGAAAGTAACTGAGCTTGACCATATTAAAAGGTCCAGTCTTAGCTGTGTTAGAAATCTGTGTTTGCTTCACTGACTGACTGCCTGACTTGTTTGGTTGCATCTTTCCTTCTAATTGGGCAAAATGTAGGTACCCGATAGAATATAATAGGTGAGGGACTAAGAAGTTGGAAAGCTTCATAAACTTGGCAAAGTATAATGTTAATAGCTGTTTTGAGTGCTTCCACATGCCAAGTATATGTTCACAGTTCTCTTTTTTTATTACCTAGTCATCAGGGTTTTAAACTTTTTTGGCTTCTTTTAAAAATAGTAGTAGGCTTCTAAAGAAGTTGCAAAAATCATACAATAAATTCCTATGTACCCTTTAGCCAGATATCCAAATGTTTTTATGTAACCTCCGTATAATTATAAAAATCAGGAAATTAATATTAATTCAGCACTATTATATGTTCTGCACATCTTTAAAAATTAACCAGTTACTCCAGCAATATCCCTTTTCTGGTCCAGGAGCCAATCTAGAATCACATTTTATATTTTGTTGTCATATCTTCTTTAGCCTGCTATAGTTCTCAGTTTTACTTTGCCTTTCTTAATGTTGATATTTATGATGAATACCGGCAAGTTGGTATGTAGATTTTACCTCTCTGTTTGGTTGTACCCAAGAGTCCTCATGACTGAAATTCAGCTGTACATTTCCAGCAGGAATTCCATAATACTGATATTGTGTTATCCTTAGTACACCATGTCAGAAAGCATGTGAGCATGTTTAGTATGATCACTTGGTGAAGGTGTTATCTGTCAGTTTCTGTACTA